GGCTGCAAAATCAAACAGAAAATACTATTTTAAATTTAGTAATCCCTAGAGGTATTATTTCGCTTGTACGTCCGTTTTATACAGAGGATGTACAAGCGTAACCATACCTTAAAATATTGTTTTAGTTATGTTTATGTTGTTTTTTATTTATTTATGATATGTAACTACCTACCTAAATAATATATTATTGTTATTAAAAAATTAAAAAACTGCCTGCGGTGCATTTTTAGCGGTTTACCGTGATATCCTGGTTAAATTAAAATATATATATATATAATAATAAACGTTCTCTAGTGAGTTGCACCGCCATCCAGAGAATTTCTTGAGCACATTGACAATTTTACAATATACAGTGAGCATCATAAGTCTTCAGTTGAATTAAATGAACAATGATAAGGAGGTAACCGAATAACTGTGTGGCCATATTGTTCTGCAAGTTGATCTACTTTATAAATTTTTGGTGGTTTATTTATGAAAACTGTGTTCAATAATAAATCTTGTTTGTACATATTCTGATCAAATCGAATGTTGTGTCGTCAGCCAATCCTGAATTTCGAGTTTTGTCTAGGAATTATTGGGCGTTTTAAAAAGTAACATGCTGTGATAGAAAGCATTGTCCACAACAACCGTTCCTGTAGTTTATATGCTCCTTTTATTGTTATTATGCCAAGAGCAGTTAACTGTGCCATTTTAATAAAATCCATGTTTCATCCAGATAAACAAATTTATATAGACAGATTTTTTGTACTTTAAAAAACTAAATCTTTTACTGACAACACGAGGAAGTTCCATAAGGCCACGCCAGGGATCATCTTGCTCCCATTTAAATTTTATATTGGTTAACACTGTATACAATGATCGTTTCTCGTTGCGTTAAAGTTTCATATTATTTCCCAAGAGTAACTTGTTTCTTCTTATACATATCGTAAATGACATCACGAATATACTCAGAAAAGAAAATTTCTGTTACAGATTTGGGATGTGGCCGCCTTTTTGGATGAGAATTTTAAATATGGTTATTCTTTAATGTCGAAATATATTCAAATTCAACGCCACTGCTATACGCTCTATGACTGCATTTATTGGTAATAAAAGGCCACCATTATCTCTTTCTTCTTCAAAATATCTTCTTAGAGCCCCCACTAATTCTTTCGCACGGCTATTTAAATGCTTCGGCATTTTAAAAACAAAAAAATTAATTTGCTTATTAATCACAAAATTAATACTTTTGACAGCTTGAAAGTTTAATTAAACATTGATTTGGAAACTGTCCGTTGCCCACTTCAATCTTGAAAAGCAACAAATATGAATAACAGCAATGATTTATCTGTTCAATTTCATAAAAAAAATTTCATCATTGATGACGTGCAACGGAAATTTCATTGCAATGGCTAAATTTATAATTGTTTAAAAATAAAATATTGGCTTTAAAAAATACATAACTATTTATTAATGCACTTGAATAACTCATGTGATCTAATAAATTTCAAAAAAAAATGCAACACTGGTTTCAGATTCAGACCATTGTAACAATATGTTCCCACCATAGATATGAAGAGGGGGAGATAGGAAAATGGCTGCCCGGGTGGCAAGGAAAAACGTTTACGACAGCGTAAATGCGGGGGAGGATTTGAGTCTGCGCATTAGTTAGAATGTTGTGACATTTGACATTTAGTTGTCTTGTGATTGTTGTTATTTTTAGCAATTTTTGTACGATTTTTAAAGTTTTTGTGAGTTTTTGAAAGTTATTTTGATGTGTTGAATGGCTGTGGTAGGAAACAATTAGCCAGACTTTTGTTTCTGTTCCACGAATACTCAGTTACACCTGATACTATTATTAAAATACTTGCAATGTTTTTTAAATATTTTTGTATTCTGTAGCATCTTGCAAGATTTTCAAATAAAAGAAATAGTTCAAATAATAAGTACCTAGTTTTGTTTTTTTTTTATTGGCCCCCAGCCTAAACTTAAATTTGCCTTTATTTCCAAGATTAAGTTTTGATAGGTATAATTTAATAAATATTTCACTCTACAATATTCGACTCGATAGTGGAGTCGGTAAGCATCTGGTATTCATTTGTGGTCAGGAGATAACAATGGTTGTAATTCTATAGCAAAAATGGTTTACTCTCTACAGGAAAGAATCGAAATAATTATCCTTTATGAAGAGGTTGGAAAATGCGCATGAAAGGCATCCTAATTGTAATGTAAGTCATATGTATATTCTCGATTTGGTAGCAAAGTTTTTAGAAACTGGTTCGGTGAAAAATAGGAAAAGAACCGACGAGTACTAAATGAAGAAGCTCTAATTGAGGTTTTGGAAACATCTGTTGCCGTGTCAACTAGCTCCATACGAATAGTAGCAGAACAGACCTGAATATCACGCGAGACTGTAAGAAGAGCACTTAAAATGCATAAATTTCATTCCTATAAAATGCAGTTACGTCAAGAGCTCTACGAAGATAATTTTGATAAAAGAATAGAGTTTTGTAAAACCATGTCTGATCAAGTCAACGCCAACCCCAATCTTCTGCTGAATATCTGTTTCAGTGATGAATCTTCATTTTTTTTTTTTTTTCTAAATGACAATGTTAATAAACACAAATGTTGGTACAGGAGTGATAAACACCCACATATTATTCAAGAAGGGCATACGCAATTATTGTTTTTTTTTATTTAATGAAGGAAACTTGCCAGGCGATCTGTCCCTACAATATGCTTGCAGAGATTATTGATCCTCTTATAAACTCACGAGCTAGAAACAAACTGATGCAGAAGGTAATTTAGTTCTACAGGAGGATGTGTTACATTTCCAGCAGGACGCTGCTACACCTCATTTTATCTTCTCGTCTGACAGAGATTTCCAGGCCCTTGGATTAGCAGAAGGGGAGCAATTGAATGGCCCCCAAGATCACCTAATTTAACTCCTTTAGACTTTTTTCTTTGGGGACACCTTAAATCCGTTGTTTATGAAACACAACCTGCTGATATTGATGATCTGAAAAGGAGAATTACAGAGGCATGTCGGTCAATTTCGGGTAAAAGTTTTCCGAAATGTTAGAGAGGAGTTGGAAAACAGACTAATTACTGTTTACAGTACAATGGACAACATTTTCAAAAGTTTTTAAAATAGTGTACAAGTATGTGTTCTATTTTTAAAATTTCTTGTGCAAATTAAAAGTTATTTATTTTGTAAAAGTCATCTTACTAAAAAAATAAAAAGTTAAACGTGTAGACTTGATATTCCTCCTGTTATTTAACTCGATAGAATAATTTTTGTTTAATAAATAACTAATAAATTAGGGTACAAGAGAATTAAACGCCCTTTAAAATGATGTGCCTCTTGATCCCTTTTCCCATTTAGGGTAACAACTACCCCTCCTAGGAGGTTGAGCCACGAGTGTTAAAATTATTTATTGTAGTATGTATTGTAAGTATTGAAAATAAAATTGATGGGTTTTTGCGATTTTTCACATTATTTAATGGAAGAAAGATATTTAGTTTGGGAAGTTTTCGGTGTCACCCTGTATGTATAACACTTGTTACATAAGCACTTATAAAGAAAAAAATTAATACAAAAATTTAAATAGTACCTGAAGGGTCTTTTAATTGAAGACTACTCGTTAGATGAATTTATAAATAATTTTTAATATTTCAATATATTTTTACGTACCTATATGTGAGCATTGTATTTCATTTATCTATGATGTGATGAATGTTTTTTTGAATGCCTATGTTGTATTCAGCTAACCTTATGAAATGTAGTTAGTTATTAATATAAAACTAATTTTGTAACCTGTCCCATGTCATCGGAAGAGAATAATATAAATTTATGTATAGTTGCCCCTTAACGCCAACGCAAATAATTAGACGTCCCTCGCTGCACTAGCTATACTTACATTATCTCAACTAATACACAATCTTATTTAATTATTTATTCCTCTTATTAAAAAAGTATTAGTAATTTGCATTTAATTATATATGTATATTTTTATTGAATTCGTAAAAAAACTGAGTACAATCCTGGAAACACTCAACTGCGCAGACTCTCCGCACCCCCGGCAGGTTCTCCTTGTGTAATCGTTTTCTGAAATGACAGTTCCTATCTCCCCTCCTCCATATCATCTATGGTTCCCACTTTTACCACCACGTGCTGAGTTCGGGCGGAAAACTCGGAGTAGAGTTAGCACAGGAGTAAATTTTGGTCACGTGCCATCGGAGTCGAAAGAGTTAATCGTATTAATTTGAACGCTACTTCTATTTAGGAGTTTGGAAATAATAATAAACATATCCTTATATATTTTTATGTTTACGGTTGAAATAAATTAATGTGGATTATAAAATTTGCAGTAGAATATCATTTTAACGATGAGGAGGGAAAACATTTATAATTTTGATGAAAACACATTACCCAATATGAATATGATGATCAATTTGTAATTTAATTTTCGTCTGAAACCAGCAACTTTTGATATTCTCTTTCATAGAGAAATATTCTCTTTATTAAGCAATATTTTATTGTTTTCTGATAAACCATTTTCTTGCATAACACCAGCATTGTACAGATATTTCCATAGTTATTCAAAATTGCAAAACAAAATAGAATTAAACCTCCATCCATATTCACAACATGGAGCAAAATAAAAATATCGACAAATCGAAAAACAATGAATGGGTATTGATTACTGAGTAAGCTTGTTCCTGAGTCACCTCTCGCCGAGGTGGTGCAGGATAATTTACTGCATGTACTCTGCTCGGCACTATTTAAACGTAATAGAGTTAACACGGGTCTCTTGACAAGTGTAATTTGAAAGCGGCAGAGTGCGATAGAGTAAAGAGTAACTCCGCGTACGCGGAGTGCGCTGCCCGAACTCAGCATCAGGTGTTGTTGAATGTTATTTATTAGGTTTCAGTACCAATCTAAGTGGATAATTTGCACAATACAATTATTTCAGACACTGGTAAAATAAAACTATGTTTACTTAATTCATAATATTTACCCAAATCTGTAGGAATTTGAGGTTCAATTTTTCCAATGTCGATTTTTTCTATAGGAATATCTTGGAATACCATGGATTTGTTGGTTGGTTGGTCCACTATGGGGTGTAAAGGACTCGTTGCAGAGTCAGTTCTAGGTCTAGTTGTCATTAAAGGACTATTATTATTCCTGATAAAAAAAAAATAGTATAGATTTTAAAAACGTTTACAAAATTACAAATATTAAAAAAATCATTTTTTGTAACTTCTGGAGATAAGTTTCATCATGAAAGGTCATCATATCGGCAAAAGATATACACTAGGGCAAAAATTATGGCCAGAGTGCCAGGCAGTGTATGGAATTAGGTGACAATACTCGGTATTCACTTAGCAGTAACTAGACACTAGTGGTAGTACAAAAGCAATATAATATAGGTATTAAATTAGCAGTCTTTGTAAATACTTGAGAAATACTTGGCAGTAAATCGTTTGTGTTTGTCCAGAAGTACCTAAATAATATTGCATTACCTTAGCTATACCTAGTAATGCCTGGCAGTGCTTTAGCTGTAGCAAATAAAGTGAGGAAGTAAATATCATCAGTAGAATAGTACAGACCATGAAGAGCTATACGGAAATGTTTGAATTAGGCCTTACGTCTAAAATGGCAATATTGTACTGCATAAAATAATAATACAAGTTGATTTAATATTAATGTGAAAAATGAAAAATTCAATGAATAAACACTTTTACAAAGGCATAAAGTTGTGAGTATATATGCTTACCTGTTATTAGTAGGTGAATTCAAGGAAGCAGATGCTTTTTCCAATTTATGTTGGTTTATCAAATAACAAGCTCGCGCCAAAATCAGCAAGCTGTTAAAAATCTTCAGAGTGGTCAAGAAAAAAAACACCAAAACGACAATGACAACAGCTCCAATATCTTCAATTTTTACACAGTGCATAAGCACTCTGATAGTTACAACACCTAATGGCAAAGGAATGAATCCCATCCTTCTAGCCACGAGATCACAATGATCTGAGAAAGCGTGCTTTTGCCTGGTTTGCGCCACATCATAAGCCAAACTTGTGGTATAATCTCTATACACATCAAGATTAAGTTCGTTGAATCTGGTGATAAAGGCATGTTTTATCCAATCGACAAACATTTCGGCCAATAAAATACAAAAGCAATTAGGTACCATCACCCAGAAACGTTCAGATTTCCAGCTGTACTCTCGCATAGTTTGAAGAATGACAATGAAGAGGAGAGTACAAAGGTGGAAACGTTCTCTGACATCACTGCAAGAAACTTGGAAGAGGTTGTTATTGTTGAATTTTTTGAATACGCTTCCTTTAAGTTCTACAAACTGAAAATAGAAAAGAATTAATGAAATTAATTGTTTTTAGAAATATACAAAATTTGTCGATTTATTATGATGTAAAAATATAATTTAAAATTTATTTGTCTTAATAATATCATCTTAATACGATAGCATCTCATTCATTTGCTAGACTGTATTGTCACGCTTCATATAATTTTATATTTTTATCATAACACATCTAAATTAATTAACTATTGGAAAATACCCTGTACATAAAACCTTGTTTTATTATGTTGAAAATTTGTTTTAAGTTTCAAACATGTACAAGGTTTATTTATTATTAGTTTAATAACAATAAATTATGCAGAAGTTATAAAGGGGAGATGCACATAGGTTTTCCCACAGGGCAGGATCTTCCCCATAGGAGGCCGTCCTCGTAGAAGATTCCCAGTAACGGCTCCAGATCACCGAGACCCATATTTGTGTATGACCAGTTTTGATGTATTTTGTATAATTGTTTTTGAAAAAAATATATATTTTAAGAAAACATTGTGTTTCCTTCTATCCTTTTATAGAGAAGTTTTAGGTCCTGATGTCAAGAGTAGAACCCTTATACAGTTAAGGGCTGTGAAACTAAGTTCAAGGCATATAGTCCTTACATGATTAAGGCCCTGATTTATATAATTATTGGTCATCCCCTAAATTCATTCATTGTGACACATTTTATTTAATGAACACTTATAACGTAACAATATAAGCTGTTGCGTAGGTATTTAAAAGGTAGTCATAGTTGCTACTGTTGCTAGATTGCAGCATCGTTTTCCTCAGTAGATTTGTATGTTGGTAAAACTATGCTGTTGACAACAATTAAGAAAATTAAAAAACAATTAGTACTTTGCCGTTAGAAGAAAACTGATAAACATTTTCCCACGTTCATTAAAATTGTCCCAGGTTCAAGTGCCGCAACTCACTTGTGAATCCAATTTCTTTTTTTTTTAATTAGAACATAAGAACTTAAAAATCGTTTGATACTTACATTATTTGACATCATTATAGTTAGTAAAGCCTTGTTTCTTGAATTAATAGCAACATTAATTGTCGTTGCCTGAAAGAGCACCAATACACCATGAAGAACTTTAAAAAAGTTAAGGTCATATACTATTTTATTACATTTATTATTCTCTAATTTTTGTGGCTATAGAACAGTGGCTACAGGAAATAAAAAATGGAGCAGTTCACATAATAGCATCTTAACCTAAGTGTTTTGTTTGTGATGTCTCATTAAAAGGCAGTTACCACTAACGAAAGAAAATGTTTAAAAGACTTATCAAAACAATAAAATAATGTTTTTTTGCAATATTTGTTTTGAGAAATATTATTAATTTCAAATAAACACTTCAATAAATGTTCTATTTCAATGAAAAAAAAAAAAAAATCGTAAAAGGATACCAACATAAATAATAGCAAATACAAGATGAGGTAACGTTCCAAGATGTTCCCTTTTTCTTCCTCTAGGTTCAGTAGCGGTCCAAAATAAAGAATCGATAGCATCTTGACCAAACGAGGAAAACAATCGATCGCCTATCTCTAACATATTAAAAAACATATATAACTTAATAACTGATTGACTTTTTATAAGATGGTACAACATATTTGTATCCAAATACATCATTATTATGCTACAAACAAGAAGAATTAGTGCTTTGAGTAGATCACAGATTTCGGCAGGAGTTAATATACATTTAGGTGGCCTATCACCAAACCTAAAAAAGAACAGAAAGTTAGTATACCATCGTAGGTATAATTAGTAATTGGAACTCTTCTTTGGTTTGGTGAAATTTATTTTTACTTGTAAAAAGATTTTTTTTAGGAAAATATTGAAATCTCCCAAAAATTTGCAAACAAAATTATCCAAGGTAAAATAAGAAAGCTAAAATCCCGCCCACAATTCAATAGTGCACATGAAAAGTGACAAAATCCAAAAATCGTAATTTTTAAATTTCAAGATAAACTCTTTTGTCTCAATATTAAAGAACCAGAAATTGTTATTTTATTGTATTTTCACATTTACTTTAAACTTTTAATCAAATTATATATTTTACATTTCCATCTTGGATAATTAAATATATTACTTAGGTGCTTAAAAAAGTTTATTTTTCTTTATATTATTTTGTTGGGCAACATGTTGAATACCTCAATAATAAATATTAATAAATGCTACCCCTACCCACTCCCATGGAATCATAAGGGGACAAATTGTAAGATTATTATTCATGAACAACTAAAAAAAAATTAGGTATTTACCCAAAGCATTTACAAAAAGGCCTGGTAACTAAAGCCCATAAAGCTAACAATACTCTCATAGGTAAAAAAGTATAAACAAATAAAAAAGCATCAGCACATTGCATAAACCCATATAACATAAAACGTTCCACTTCTTTTGGAATTTTCATGAAGGAATATATTTTTTCCCGCCTAATAGAGAATCTATCCTCTGAATTGTCTAGCTCATAACCACGAGTTAATTCGACATTTAGGAAGTTCCAGAGGCTTGGCATTTTTTCTAAAACAAAATAGTGATGTTATGTATTAATGAAAATCCTTTATGTTAAAATTTAAATTTCCAAGGCTTTTTTAAACAAGTACTGTCTAAATAAGCAACAATTTTAATCATAATTTACGTCTAATTCAAATTACCTGTATCAGTAATACACAGGGTGTCAATTAAAAAATGTACAATGGTTACATGAATTGATTTTTAATTCTGATTAAAATAAAAAATCAATTTCCATGTATTTCAGTAAATCTTTTAATTTATATTGTAATATAGTATAATAATAATAACACAATACACATGTTTGGAATATAAATAATTACATAATGTTAAATTGCAAACCACTATAATTACTTAAATTGCTTTGAACTTTATTATAAAGAATGACAAATATCTCGTTTTATCTACTATCTTTATCACAAGTACAAGAATATTTGAATTTTGTTTACAAATTTCAAATAATTAATTTGAATGTGCCGAATACTTTCTTTATGTAATTTATAATCCATGAATGTTTAAAATAAAAAAATAATAACTAACTTTTGGTATTGTAATCTTTGTCCTTTTCGGCTTTTTCATATTTGCCTAAATCTTCTACTTTACTTTCGGAATGGAACAATACTTTTGATGCTTGCCTAAAACGTAATTTTTTTTCACTTTGCATTTTTTATCAGAGATAAATTAAAAATATTTATATTTTGGTTAACCTCTCATCTTGTTATCATTGACAACCAGTGTTGGTGTTGTTCCTAGGGATTTTTGAATTGTACAACTTTTACTGTCAAAATTGTACACTTTTACGTTCGATTGTATAACCATATGCTGCGTTTGAGAATCCACATCGGATGCATTTTTTACATCTCGAGCGTTTCTTTATCCACATCGGACACATCTATCCCATTACGTTTACGTATACTGAATCACGTGATCAAAGATTTTTTACATCTCAGATGCATCGGATGTGGATTCTCAAACGCGGCATTAGTCGACTAATTCCCAATGCTTAAAATTCTTCTTTTTTCCAGTTTTATCAATGTTTTCGATGTAAAACGGTGTATTGCACAATTGATTGGTCACGAACACGGTGTACTATAAGGTGTATCAACTGCTATTTAAAAACAAATGAAAACGGCGATAAAACCGATCGTACTTCCTAGCCAAAATCCGCTAGGTTCGCTAGTATCTATCCGGCGAGAAAGTAAATAAAAGATCATAAGTAGGAGCTGCAATTTAAAAAGTGTTGACAGATAAATATTTTTTAAAATCTTAAAATATATAAATCATGGTGGATCGTTGTGCTGTTTTTAATTGTGATTATGGGAGAGAGTCTTCAAAATATTAATAGCAGTTTTATAATGCCAAAAAACAGTTATACAGAATATGGTGCAAATTATTGGTGGTATGAAAATAAACATTAAACCCAAAAGCTCCATTTGTGAAAAACATTTTAATGCAAATTATGTTATCCGTGAAAAAGTGCTAAGAAATCTACTAGGAAACGTTATTTTTCAAGTAAATATGTTTAATGTCTACGTTTTAAATGATTGTAGGTTATGTAAATAGGTTATTCAACTTTGTCTTTTCTGTAATAAAAATAATTATTAGTATAAAGTTTTACTATATAAATATTTCGTATTATTTATCCTGTCTCCTTGGTACTAATAATGTTATGACTTGGACCCTATTATAATGTGTTCATGATATAAATTTCATATACACAAGGTACCTATTTCTTTTGATATTTTTCTGACCCTGCGAATAAATAAAATCTTTGACTTATTCCTTTTAGCCTGATTATAATGCTAGAAAGTTGTATCTGGTTATAAGAATCAAATAGATACTATGATAAATTTATTTTACTTGTAGCCTTTTTATTTTTAAGTGTTCAAATATACATTTGTTTAATAATAATCATCCCCAAATGTGTTTTGTTCCAGTTCTTTAAATGTATTTACTAGGTTTTTATAGAAGTACTGATTTTAAATTAATAAAAATTTGAGCTGTAAGAAATATTTAAGATTTTTCAATTCTGTATTTTTCGTATTTTTATAGGAGTTAATAATCCCTTTAAGTAAATAAATGTAGTTCGGGGTCGTAGATGTTGGTAATTTGTGTATTGAATAATTTGTACATACACTGGTTAATAATTTAAACAATGTTTTTTCTGATGTACCTAATAATTATTTAAGGTTATCTTGTAGTTGAGGAGTCTAGAAATCCGCATATTCACACCACTCTGAAGTCTAGAATTTGACACAAATTTGAAGTTAAAAATACTTAACGATCGTATTACTTAAAAATCTACAGATTTTTTTAATTTTTAATCGATGTAAAAATTGGTAAATACATGATAAAAAGTAAAAGTTATTTCAAATAATTAAATATAACTTTGCAACTATATGTTACAATTCCAACTATCAGAACTAGCCAGAACAAGAATGGTGCATTTCCAGACCCTTCAATTATAAGATTACCATTATTTAATGTGCAGCGCAAATATAAAAAAAACTACCTAAAAAATGCTGTTCCTGCTTTTATTACTTATGATGGGACTACTTCTCAAAGGAGACAAGAATGTGGAAAGTATTGCTGATACAGTTACCGAAGTTATCCACTGGGGGTGAAGTGTTAATCTTTTAGGAATATAGGAAATATTTCTTTATATCTAACAACTTAATATTTATTTATTGATAAGTTATAGATACTATGTATTTGAAATTCGAAGTAATCATTATGACAGCAGTGTTCTTCTTATTGTATTCGAATTCTAACACAAATAAAACATCTCATTAAATTTTTGTTAAAATTATTAATTTATTAATTTTACATTAGAAAGAAAATTAACAATACACACAAAATTATTTAAAATTAGAAATAAATACAATTTACACATTTCCCATTATTACACTTTTACTTACTTAATTTATTCATTTCTTATATTAACAATTTAAATTAATAATATAGTTCATTATTTCATTGGAACTCATTTTATATTTTTACTAATTATTTTTTTATATTTATTTGTGGAAAATTAAATATTAAATAAAAGCATAGGAATTGTTCTATTAGATAATAGCAGTAATGAAAAAATAAGTAGGAAAATTTCAAATGTATAGTTTCCAGATTTATTTTTTCATATTAATGTACTCAATAAGTAGGTTTATTATGTTCGCTTGTACACATCACAGTTAGCAGCAGACAGTAACAAACCTGACAACACTTCCGATTTCAGAAAAAAACATTACAACAATTTGTTTTACATTATATATTTCAATAATGTAATATAATAATCATTTATATTTAATTAATGACAAGGTTTACTTTTTAAATAAAACTATATGAGCCCTGTCCCGTTTCAATTAGCACACTTCTCAAATTTATAGTGACTGTCACTACAAGAACAAATCATACATAAATCTGATAAATTACTTTTATTTTTTTTAACCCTTTCACTTCCACTTTCATTAAAAAAAATACCATTGTAGTAGATTGTATGTTTTCTTTGTTTATTTTAAGTAAATTAAAATTTTTTCATAGTATTTTTTATTACTCCAAGACATAACGTCCCTGTTCAGGGACATTACAAAAACAAAAATTTACTATGAAAATAATTTTTTTATAATATTAATCCTTAAAAGTAATGCAAATAAAAGTAAATAAACCAAAAAGAAAAAACTTCTACCAAAATTAACAGATGTATACTTCAGGGTTAATTAAGACAGTGTCCCTCTGGAGGAACAAATACACTGAAAGGGTTAAATATTTACAAATTTTCATGAGTGTTTCATCACCTTTAACTTTGATAACGGCAATAATTCATTAAAACATTGTATTTACAAGTTCTTGAAAATCTTATGTGCAGGGAACCTACTCCATATTTCTAGATTACCCATTTGCTTTAATTCTGGCAGTGATCTTGTGGGTGCTGCACGCCTCTGCTTAAAAATTATCACCCCATATACAAAAAAGCATCTTTATTAAATGAACAAGAAACTAAAAAAAAAAAATAAGCATTATTAAAAACTACAAAAAGTGCATAATTTGAAAATCCATATTCAAGCTTGAGATTAGTAAAATTAAAAAAATTCCAAATACACATTTAACTTGTTCAATTATGTATTGAATAAAAGGTCTGTTCCAACAATGATCAGAAACAAACCACTGGGTAGTACACAATTTTGCAGTATCGATAAACTACTGTGCAGAATCCTGATGTCAGCAACTCATTTCTGAGCATTGTTGGAACAAACCTAAAGTAAATCGAAACCACTTAAAAACAAGCACAACATTTATACTCGAGCATAATTTTTAATTCCTATCAAAATTTTTAATTACTGAATATTTTGTTCTAGTTATATTAAAATTTAAAAGTTCTTACTCTTCATTATAATTATATTTTTTATTTTCCCTATATACCTACATACTATCTCTAACATTTTACAAATTTGATGCCTAATTAAAGATGTCATCTAGCATTGCAGCATTTTTTAGAATATTTGAGAGAGCATAGTAGTAACTGCCAGTTAAAACTTTATTTCTAGTATTTAGTTTAGGTAACAGAGACAACGCTTGGAACAGAAAATACATACTTTTGTTAATTCAGAATTTTTAAATGTTGTTTTATATTATAAATCTTTCCAGGTATCGGGTATCCTATATCATTTTTTTTATAATTTTCAACCAAAACTGTTTAAAAACAAAAAGTTTAATAAAACACCCATTATATTAAATAAGGTTTATGCTCTAAAACTCACTGTTCTTTTAATGGCAGATTTTTTAACCTCTGAGTAAAGTTAGGTTTAAGTATAATCTATAGCCTAATCAGCAAGTAGTTACTTTCAACTTTATTCAGAGGTAAATAATTGTGGAGGATGGAGACTACATTTGCTAGGGATTAGGGAATAACGAAGATCTGACTACTATAATGACACTTGCTAAAAACTGTATAAGTTCTATGTACTTGCAGATAGAACCATGTGAATAACTTTAGTGCTTCGATAACACAACATTGAAAATTAACAGATGCACATATTGGTCACAAAAACAAATTAAATAATATATTCTACCAATCTCATTTTTTCCAAAAAGTACAGTTACAACCTTGTTATTCTTTGAGATGTATTTATTACTGATACTTATTAATAAAAATAATAATAATTGATATAGGTACTTACTGATCTTTGGAAACATATATACTCCAGTCCAGTGAGCCTTTATTATTCTGGTATAATGCTATTTCACAGAAATGTTTGTAATTCCAATCACTATGTATGGATTTGATTATAGTAGGTATAAAACTAAATGTTTATTGAATATCTTTAATCTGGGCAATGAAAATCACAAAATTCACTTTAAAAATAATAAGCTTCAATCTGAGTACCATAGTTAAGGTCCACTTCTTCATTTTATAATCAGTAACCCACTGTATTGCTGTTTTTGCCAAAGCCAAAGGTAATATTTGAACACAAAACAAAATCAGCTGTTTTTTATAAACACCCCCATTTCACTTATTTAGTAGCAAGTCTCTGGCAGCAACTTGTAACTTAATTGGAGCATATTTATTAAATCTTGAACACTTTTTTTGATCCTATAAACTCACACATCAGTGCAGCTTGTTTAAAAAAAAACACTTATAAGCAACCATCAATAACACTCGCAATAACAATAAACTTATTTGTTGACCATTAATTTTTTCATCTGTACTCCTTCTGATAGTTTTGTCATTTTTCATTTCATATAAACTCGAATTTTCACCATAGAAGAACTATTTTTATGATTGCACTTTTTTGACAGATAAAAAGATTGCCGCAATTTTCCGCCGTAACGACACTAGCGAACCTAGCGGATTTTGGCTAGGAAGTACGATCGGTTTTGGTATGTTTTTTTCAGGGAGTTGAAACACCTTTATAGTACGCCGTGGTCACGAATGACGCCAAATTCAAACATTATTGTTTTATTAATCTGAATGTATACGATTTACGATATACCAGATTTTACATAAATATTTAGCAACTTCAAATTGTACATTTCTACCTTTTTTCAAAAGTGCGTACAACCACATAACTGATTGTACATTAGGCATTCCAAACTGAATGGCTACCAGTGGGTTCTGACGTGTTATGAGTTATGATATGGCAAAATTATGGCAACCCTGTAGGCCTGGTGATTTGACAAGGTCAATGATATAGATAGTTACATAGATTGATTATCCATATTTTTCAAAATAAACATAAGCTTATGCCTTGAAGTAAAAATGTAAGCAATTATATTTTTTTAAATATCTAAAGGCTAAAAATTTGTTTTAAAAGATATTTTTGCTAAACCGATTCAAATTAATAAATATTTGCCAGGCAATATGGCCGCTCGTAAACGACCAGCTTTAAGCAAACTATATAACTATATATGTATCGTTGTATGAAGATTATAATCTTCATACAACTGCTGCGTTTGAGAATCCACATCGGATGCATTTTTTACATCTCGAGCGTTTTTTTATCCACATCGGACACATCTGTCCCATTACATTTACGTATACTGCATCACGTGATCAAAGATTTTTTACATCTCAGATGCATCCGATGTGGATTCTCAAACGCAGCATATGTATGTATCATTGACCCTGTTAATGACAACATGACAACAGGGTTGCCATATCTAAACTGTCATTACCCACTGGTAGCCATCAATGAACTGGAGTGGGGTAGAAAGCCAATCAGTGTTGCCAGGTATACCATTTTTATGGTATTTATACCATTTTTTCTACTACGATACCTGCAAGTTTTTGAGGATACCATTTTCCATTTTTTTACCATTTTTTAGGTACTGATACCATTTTACTACCATATTTTTAACTTTTTGATTTTCATTTCATTCATTATATCTCTAATATATACTAACAAGTAACAAGAATGGTCTCACATCTCTACTAAAATACGCCCAATAATAGACGATTACAAAAATGTATCTTTTATCGGGGAATTCAAAAATGAAAAGAAAAATATGTGGTCTATTTAAAAAAATATGGATGACGTTGTAGCGAAAGATGTACAGTTGAAAATAAAAAAAATTGACAAGTGAGAGGATTTTATTAAAATACTTTCTATAAGACAGAAAATTATCGAATTTATTCCGATCTATACGCCCTCATTGTATAATATATGTTATAAATTACTAAAAGATTTGTATATACAATTTTATTATTACAGTTCAGCAAGATTATAATGACCCTACCGTCTGTTCTCTTATCTCGGCTCTTATAATACTTTGTTAATTAAATCATAGTTTAAAATAAAAAAATTATACTTTTGATTTTTATTTGTGTAAAACTTTATTATTTGGTATTATCAAGATTATTCAAGATACCATTTTTTGTTAGTAAAATACCATTTTTTTAAGTGTCGGATACCATATATTTCTTTTTTTATCTGGCAACGCTGAAGCCAATGTACATATTGTATCAATAGAACAAGGTGCGACTCTATGGGCGCAGCCATTTTGATTTCTCATCTCACTCGGGAGTATTTATAACAACCATTTTCTGTTTCACATTGTTATTGTTCAATCCACAAGCTGGTGGATCAGACAATAACAAAGTGAAATAGAAAATGGTTGTTATAAATACTCCCGAGTGAGATGAAAAATAACCTGTCTTCGCCCATAGAGTCGCATCTCAAGCCTATTGACAAGGATATTCTACCCCACTCCAGTTCATTGGTAGCCATTCGGACAGGTCGTTGGAATGCCTAATTGTCACATACTTTGATTTTCTTTTACTATACGGAGAATGGTCGCACTGCGCAGCTTTCTGAGTGCCTTTTAAAAGGAGATAGAAAACTACGCCATTTTGAACCCTTATTACGTGTTGCCTACATCGTGGCGCAATATTTTTAATAGGTCCGTTTTAATCATCCGCTTCTGCTTCGGAATTAACGATTTTCTTGTTTTAATCTGACAGATTAAAACGACTAAACCGACAATTCCGGAAGCAGAAGCAGATGATTAAAACGCACCTGATATTTTGCTTGCTGCTGTCAGTGTCAGTGAATATTAGTCGTTTTCTTTTTACAACTAATCTGAGCTAACTTACATCGACTAAGCTGAGATGTACGTTCTTTTTATGATTGTAAGTCAGAATCTTTCTTCCCCCCTTACCGATGCTAAGGTGCACGATACTTGACGTCAACCCACATACTTTGATTTTCTTTTACTATACGGAGAATGGTCGCACTGCGCAGCTTTCTGAGTGCCTTTTAAAAGGAGATAGAAAACTCCGCCATTTTGAACCCTTATTACGTGTTGCCTACATCTTGACGCAATATTTTTAATAGATGCGTTTTAATCATCCGCTTCTGCTTCGGAATTGTCTGTTTTCTTGTTTTAATCTGAGAGGTTAAAACGACTAAACCGACAATTCCGGAAGCAGAAGCGGATGATTAAAACGCACCTGATATTTTGCTTGCTGCTGTCAGTGTCAGTGAATATTATTTTTGAAGTCACAGTTTATTGCTTAAGAATCAGTTAGCTCACTCGGACCAGTTGAAAGTTCCAAAATAACATCCACTCCAGGGATACAAATTCAGGATACGCAGAAGACTGCTGTTTGAATATAGGCGGTTGTCTTAATTGTATTATTCGAGTGGCGCAGTGTATAAAGTGGAACATTGAGATCAAAAGTGCCGACGCAGAGTGAGCGATCTAATTCTTTATCTATAAACTGTTGCATAGGGTTCAAAATGGCCGCGCTCTATGTTGGGCGTGTCGGACCTCTCTCTTGCGCCGTATAGTAAAGAAAATCAAAGTATGTGCGTCAACCATAAACCATCACAGAAAGTGAGTGTTCTGTGCATCATATGAACAAACATATCCCATGAATTCATTATTTTAGAGATAATAAAAGACTATGATAACAGGGGGTGAGATTTGTAGTGTTGAATGTTGAAAAAATTATAAAATTTGATTAAAATATGGATTGTTTTTAAACGGATGACATGGGACACGTCACCTGTCGACCAAAATTCGCGTTCTTTTTACAGTTAAGCTAAGATCAGAATCTAACTTTTAGTTAGTCAAGTATGCTTGTAAAAAGAAAACGACTATTATTTTTGAAGTCACAGTTTAGTACTAAAGAATCAGTTAGCTCACTCGGACCAGTTGAAAGTTCCAAAATAACATCCACTTCAGGGATACAAATTCAGGATACGCAGAAGACTGCTGTTTTATTATAGGCGGTTGTCATATATTGTATTATCCGAGTTGCACAGTGTATAAACTGAAATATTGAGATCAAAAGTGCCGACGCAGAGTGAGCGATCTGATTCTTTAGCTGTAAACTGTGTCACAGGGTTCAAAATGGCCGCGCCCTATGTTGGGCGTGTCGGACCTCTCTCTTGCCTCGTATAGTATTCAAAGTATGTGTCTTCGGTTTAATGTATAGCCTCTTCCAGCGGTCAATTTTTTCGATCTTCCTTTATGGACCTCACTAGGGTTGCCACCTGTCCTTTAAGAACCGATTCCACCGGCTATATCAAGCTAGCGGGCACTCTGTGGCGGCACCATTCAAGTCCTGGGGTAGTATTCTCGAATCACGAATACCGACATTCGCATACGTGTTTTACAATGTGTCTCACTTTGTTGAACCAAAAACCAAGTGAGACAAATCATAAATCTCGCATGCGAATCTATATTCGTGACTCGAGAATACTACCCCTGGGGGCACATACTTTGATTTTCTTTTACTATACGGAGAATGGTCGCACTGCGCAGCTTTCTGAGTGCCTTTTAAAAGGAGATAGAAAACTCCGCCATTTTGAACCCTTATTACGTGGTGCCTACATCTTGGCGCAATATTTTTAATAGGTGCGTTTTAATCATGGAGGAAAGATTATTAATCTTGTTTTAATCTGACAGGTTAAAACGACTAAACCGACAATTCCGGAAGCAGAAGCGGATGATTAAAACGCAACTGATATTTTGCTTGCTGCTGTCAGTGTCAGTGAATATTATTGTTGAAGTCACAGTTTATTGCTAAAGAATCAGTTAGCTCACTCGAACCAGTTGAAAGTTCCAAAATAACATCCACTCCAGGGATACAAATTCAGGATACGCAGAAGACTGCTGTTTTATTATAGGCGGTTGTCATATATTGTATTATCCGAGTTGCACAGTGTATAAACTGAAACATTGAGATCAAAAGTGCCAACGCAGAGTGAGCTTAGCGGATATTTGTAGCGGCACCAGCTCTGACCCTCCATGCTCTGACCAGGCTCATTTTTTGTAGCTTTTTTGTTACGCCTGTCTCGATTTCGTTGCGAGGCCTGAACGTGAGTAATAATCGTTTCTCCATGAGCGTGAGAGAAAAGTGCGTTAATTTAAAATCAAGTTTCGGCCTCTACAAGTAATATGTGCAACTCGATAGTGTGACTATCTGTTGCTAGATGGCACCAGTATTAGGCATTCCAACGACCTGTCAAACAATAGGTGCCAGTGGGAAATTCTTGTATATTTAAGGGGGTAGCGACATAGTCTTGCAACTTGGACGCTATTTTTATTCGAAGTAGTACTCGCCAAGCCTGCCAATTTATGAAGAAATGTATAGATGGGTTTTTTAAATATTATTTTTATTGTGTTTGACATAAAATATTTAAATGTAATAAATTATTCATGATTTTACGTAAAGTAGATAGAATACACCATATGTCGCCACCCTTAGATATACCAAACCTGCCCACTGCTAATTCATTTGTTTGGAATGCCTAATTGCATTTCACGAATTATGGCCATCTTCCATCCAATATATTTTTGAGATGTCGGCAACGTCGGCAACAAATTTGTCATCGGCAGCTGAGGCCTACAAAAATTGAGAAGAAGAAATTTGTCATCATGCATCCTGTCATCCACAAAGAAAAAAAAATAATTTTCTGTGAGGTTACGTGTGCTTATGTCATGTCCTAACGATTTTAATCCTTTTTTTTTCCTTGTTCAGCTGTGGTTTAAAGGTTTTAATCCATGTCTTGAAATGGTGCTGGATTCTTAGTTCTGCTGTCTTATTCTGTCCTGAGAAAAATCTTAGATTTAAAAAGGGAGCCGTTTCAATTCATAAAATAATATTAAGAACAAAAATGAGTGTAATTCGTTTAAATACGAGTCTCTGCCAAAAGTTAAGAGGCTGCAGATATTTTTCAAATCTTTCTCGACAGGAAGAAGAGTATACGTCGGCACCAAACTATCCACCCATTCAAGATCTTACTTTTCAAAAAAGGAAAGAACGAACTAAAGACAAATTGTATGATGAAATTAAAGCTGTGAAAACAGTAGAAGAAAAACAAATTAAACTAAATATGCCCAAATATTATGGTTTTCAGAGCTACATGTTACTTGAAAATAAATGTGACTATAACAACTTACCAATGACACAACATGTTACTAGAACACATCTCATTGTTAATAAAGATTTACCAGATTACTACAAAGATATAAATGTAGATGAGCTAGCTAAAAATCTAAAATCGGAGGTAGAGGATGCTCTTTCTATAGAGATTGATGGTTATCAGTAAGTTCATGTTTTACCTTTAAAATTGAACAATTACTGTTCTTGAAGCAATATTGTTTCTGGTTTCACAAATATATAATCTGTAACTCAATAAATAAATATGTTCTTTGGTTTAAAAATGTTATTCCTACATTTTTATAATAACAGGCTACTAAACCTAGTAGGTGGTGATAGCCAATGAATTCGCCAATTGATGACTTAGCTATGTTCATCTTATTGTAATCCCTACTCAGCGTTGCCAGATAAAAAAAGAAATATATGGTATCTGACACTTAAAAAAATGGTATTTTACTAACAAAAAATGGTATCTTGAATAATCTTGATAATACCAAATAATAAAGTTTTACACAAATAAAAATCAAAAGTATAATTTTTTTATTTTAAACTATGATTTAATTAACAAAGTATTATAAGAGCCGAGATAAGAGAACAGACGGTAGGGTCATTATAATCTTGCTGAACTGTAATAATAAAATTGTATATACAAATCTTTTAGTAATTTATAACATATATTATACAATGAGGGCGTATAGATCGGAATAAATTCGATAATTTTCTGTCTTATAGAAAGTATTTTAATAAAATCCTCTCACTTGTCAATTTTTTTTATTTTCAACTGCACATCTTTCGCTACAACGTCATCCATATTTTTTTAAATAGACCACATATTTTTCTTTTCATTTTTGAATTCCCCGATAAAAGATACATTTTTGTAATCGTCTATTATTGGGCGTATTTTAGTAGAGATGTGAGACCATTCTTGTTACTTGTTAGTATATATTAGAGATATAATGAATGAAATGAAAATCAAAAAGTTAAAAATATGGTAGTAAAATGGTATCAGTACCTAAAAAATGGTAAAAAAATGGAAAATGGTATCCTCAAAAACTTGCAGGTATCGTAGTAGAAAAAATGGTATAAATACCATAAAAATGGTATACCTGGCAACACTGTCCCTACTACAAATATTGGGTAAAAACACAAATCAAACATGTTTTAGGGTGCAATTAGTATAACGGCCTTCTTAGCTGATATGTAGAGTGCCATATTGATATTGGCCTAATAAAAATGTCAATGAAATATTTTAATTGCTAAAATTTTTTTTAAAAAATTGGAACAAAAATATTAAATAAAAAAAATTAAATTATATTTATAGTTAGAATTAAAAAAAAAATATTGAGTAAAAAACATTTAGTGTCAAGTTTTGGTACCTTAAAATACAACAAAATTAAACTTTCTGCTCTTTTTGAGGTTACACAATTTCTTGTGCTTTCATATATAGGGTGATTCATAAAGAGTAGAAAGAATCGCAAAATCAGGTTAATTTTTATTTCAAGGGAGACACCTTTCTATACTATCCTCAACTGTCTCATACGTCATTCCTCTCCCCTCCGTCAATCTAACCAATACAATTTAAATAGGGAAGGTACCGAGTATGACATCACAGAAAATGTAATTTTATGGAAAATTCAGTAATGTGACTGTTTATTGCATTACTTTTCATTTTAATACCGTCTAGTGAAATAAAAAACTGTTACGTATTGTGTATTGTAAAGTGTGACAGTTCAGTTAAAAGCTAATTTTATTAGTAATTCAATGACATATTATTACGTTATCTAAACTCAACTTCAATTTAAAAAAAAAAGATTGCATTACTAAATTTATTTTGTGCAATATGGAAATGTTATGTGGTACATTGGATTACTAATAAAATTAGCTTTCAAATGAAGTGTCACACTTTACAATACTTAACAGCTTTTATACCGCTAGAGGGCGTTAAAATGAAAAGTAATGCAATGACCAATCATATTGATGAATTCCCCGTAAAATTGCCTTTATGTGTCATACTTGGTACTTTCCCTATTTAAATTGTACTGATGAGAGTGAGGGAGGGAAGAGGTCACATGACAGTTGAGGATGGTTATAGAAAGGTGCCTCCTTGAAATAAAAATCGACTACTTGGTGGGGGTGCTAAGTATATTATTGCACATTTATATTTATAATAGAAAAATATCTTATTTTTGTGTCAAAAAAATAGAGAGGGTAGAATGATAAGATACCGTCTGGGCATCCATGACGAGTGTAGAAATTGTGCATGATTCAACCTTCCATTCTTACACACGTACCTAAAGCACACTAAACAAATTCCAAGCTTGGCTTTGTTCAGTCATTATATTCATGTTCAGCTTTGGCTTTTGTTTTTATTGTGGCTGTTGTAAGATTTTTTGGGCATCGTTTCTTTATTGGCTTACTTATATTTGTAATTTTTTGGGCTTTGATTTTGATTTAGTATTAAATTATACCTGTTATTTTCCCATGCTCTATTGTTTAATTGTTTCATAAACTGTTCCTGAATCTTGTTTACTAAATGTGCAAAACGAAATTGTGCATAGTGTCTATACTTTTTCATTTACAGTTATCATTCTACCCCTCTCCACTTCATTGTTTTGTGCCCACCAAATCAAAGGATCTCCATTTTTGATATGTTCTCTAATTTAATGTAATTTTAAGGTCACCTTTAATTTTATTTATGATATCAGTATCAGTCCTCTTCCTATATGGTGGTGATTTACCTGCTGACCTACCAGTAAGTTCTTTAAAGGTATTCCAAAACAAACCTTTAGTAATCGTGTTGGGGACATTGTCTTGGACCTTTTGGTTTACCTGATTTTATTTCTTAGCAATTTTTGCTAAAAGGGCACTTTCAATCAATTTTTTATTTTTATATTTTTTATAGTGAAATATTCATAATTAAAATTTACGGCTGATGTATCGGTATTGTCTAATATCGATCATGCGTATTTCGGTATTGGCCACAAAAAATCATATCGGTTCGATTCCTAATAATTATTGAGTAGTAATTTTTAAGGCTACTTTTCTAGACTATAATTTTTGCAGGAGGTTACATGATCTTAAAAATGAAGAAATCAGCCAAGGAGAGATAGAAGATATAATTAGTAGTTCTTTATGTAAACAAATCAACAGAATCATTATTAATGAATTGTCTTCAAATCAACCTCACATAAAAGAATCACAAGTAAGTTGTTTTTACTAAAATAAAATATGTTAGTAAACTTATTTCATTATTAGATTGATATTGACCCTAGAATAGAAGCATCTTGGTATGTAGGTGGTATAATTCCACCAGATTCGGTCAAAAAATCAAAAGAAGGCCTAGAATGGTTAAAAGACCGTGCTGATGAACCGTATGACAGAGTCATGGTATATAAAGGATGTCCTATTCTTGCATTGAGGTCAAAACTCCCCTTAAAGTCCATAATATCACATAGTGACGCTGAAAATCCAGATTTCCATGTACCAGTGTTCAACTTTGATCCAAGGACTGTAGGAATTACTGTTGAATATAGACATATGACTAATATACCAGGTAATTTTAATAGAGTTTTATACAAATTATTTATCAATATACAAAACTTAAGAGTTTAACATTGATACATACCTAATACTTATTTTTCTTTTTGGATGAAAACTATAATAATATAAATATGTTTGGTTTTATAGGATTCTGGCCTGGTGATGCTTATAAATTTGGCCTTCTCTCTCATCATAGACGAGGTTATATGCACCTCCGGAAACATTTTGAAGATTCTACAGATGATAAAGAATCTATTCATCGTCAGGGAATTTTAACATCTTTTGGTTGGTTACTAGCTCAAGCCAATAATTTAGGATTCAATACTTTTAATGACATAACATATCCCCTTGTTACACAAACAGTTATAACTAATGGGAAAAAATGGTCATTTTACACTTATCAGTTAAATACTATACTTTTCTCTGAGAGGTAATTTCAATTATCAAATACCTAGAAATATTGTAATAAACTCTGTTAACTTCTAATTAGATACATAAAATATGTTCTTGTAGGTTCTTCAATGAAAACCCCAAAAAAAACTTGTGTTGGGCAACTGAAGAAATTGATCTTTTCAGTGAGGTTAACAACGGAAAGCTAGTGGGGTTTAATGAAGAAATATTAAAGAACTTACTAAAATTTTACATGAACCAACCTGAAACACGTTTAGGAATCAATCTCGCTCCTTACTTAAGTAATGAAGAAAAAATATGTGCTGATTACACTGATGATGATAAAAGACTTTGGCTGGAAGATACTTATAAATATTTGATGTCAAATCGCCCTAGACATCTACTGGGTTATGAGATATATGCTTGGGAAAAAATATATAAAATTGATAATAAGACTAGATTTATGGACAAAAAGTTAAGACCGTTTGAGTTAAGACAAAATCCTTATCAGAGAAGATTAGATGAAAGAGCACCTAAATATATACCTAAAAAATTCAGAGAGAATGTTAAAAAGGTTAAGGGAGGAGCACATAAGTTTGCAAAGGATTATTTTCCTTAAGATAGCTATGTTATCGTAAAAATAAAAATTTATATACTTATATTTCGACATTTCATACCACAAACCTAGAAGAATATCGGCATTAATTTGCATGGTTCATTGTAGGATTTGAGGAATGGCCTACTAACTGTAATATCATTTCTGTTGATATGCCGTCCACAATAATGCCAGTCAGTTACTGTGTCGATAATGGTGGGTGGGATTTTCCTCATCTGTAAGCCAAATGGCACCATCAATCATCTGAAGTCGCTCCGGAGCGCCACAGCAAATAATATTAGTTGTCCCTACCCCACACAAGCTCTGCTTATAGGATTCACTTTTTATAAGTTGGAATCATATTATGGAAAACTTTTTTATTATTAATTTTAGGAAAAAAGTTCTGCATTATCTAAAACCTAGAATACAGTCATCAAATATCAATTTTTTCAGTGGTATACGAGGTTTGTCAAAAAATATGAGTTTTACTCAAGAGTAAAGTACCTTTATTCTTTATACGACTGATAAAATTTGATATTTGATGGTTGTATTTTAGGTTTTAGACCATGCTCGACTTTTTATAAAGAACAACTCATTTTCCTAAAATTAGTAATAAAAAAGCTTTCCTATGCCACCAACTGTCTACGTAAATTGGCGGCATATGAAACTCTTTTTTAACCGACTTCAAAAAAGGAGGAGGTCTCAATTCGTCACAATATTTTTTTTTTTTGTATGTTCAGCGATAATTCTTTAACACGATGTCCGATTTCAATGATTCTTTGTTAGAAAGGGGGTACTTCAGGGGTGGTCCCATATAAATTTGGTCAAAATCCAATAATTGGGTCCATGAGAAAATCCTCAAACTCTTCATTTTTTATGTATGTTTAGCGATAATGCTTTACCACCTTGTCCGATTTATATGATTCTTTTTTTGTTAGTAAGGGGGTACCTTAGGAGTGGTCCCATATAAATTTGGTTAAGATGTGGTGATGGCATCTGCACGTTTTTGAAGTCGGTTTTTTTTAATTTCTAATACTTATTATTAATATTGGGAAAAAGTTATTCTTTATAAAAAGTCGAGCATGGTCTAAAACCTAAAATACAAATACAGATATCAAATTTTATCAGTCGTATAAAGAATAAAGGTACTTTACTCTTGAGTAAAACTCATATTTTTTTACAAACCTCGTATACCACTGAAAAAATTTGATATTTGATGACTGTATTCTAGGTTTTAGATAATGCAGAACTTTTTATGAAGAATAACTTTTTTCCTAAAATTAATAATAAAAAAGTTTTCCATATGATTCCAACTTAGGGGGACATACTGTATAATATATTTTAATAATAAATAAAATTTAATATAATGCTAAAGACCTTAGAGACCTATGGCTTCAAATTTTCCCATGATCTTTCTCCACTAATTTCTATACATGGCTATTTATTTACAATAAAAGATTTTTATCTTTCTTAAATCCTGTTAAAAAATGACAAGCCTTTTTAACAGATGCTTTAGTTACTATATGATCCACTACTGTATAAGTAATGTAATATAATAACGTATAGTTAACATAAGAACAATATATTTTGAGGGGGTGGGTGGCTCAGTGGTAGAGTCTCTGCCTGCGGATCCAAGGGTCCCAGGTTCGAATCCCACTGTTGGCCGGGATTTTTTAATTTAATTATTTAAAATTAATTCTGATGCCTTGGTAGGATTCCCCACTCGACCATTAACTGTTGGTTTCTAATTAACAGAGCTGCTCCTAAAGTGGCGCTGGGAAACAGTAACAAAACCTACACAGAACACGAGGCTAATAACCTTAGTAGTTGATGCCGATGACACCAAATTAAAAAAAAAAATCAAATCACAATTACATAAACTAAAATCAAAGCCAACCATGGTAATGCCGTTTATTATTTTCAAGTATTCCTAAAGACTTCCTCTTGACAACAACCTACGCGAGATAGCTTTCTCACTTTGTGGAAAATACCCCGCTTAAATAAACTAGCCCTGGCTCGCTCCCTCTCAGATCTATTTCACCCCAGCCACATAAACCCATTTAAAATATATTGTTAAAAAAATTCAAGTATTTTCTCAACAATTTGTAACACATTAGTCCATCTCTCTACACGGCGAACTTGGTTAAACCAATCGTTATACACGAAAATACATTTCGTTCATTTTGTGTTCAGTTTTTTATTTAAAACATTTTCATCACTCAACTGTCTTGTTATGTGGTTAAAATATGGTTGTGTTAAAATAAAACCAGTGATCAGAAGCAAATACTTTAATTTCTGCATTCCATAGCACCTATCAATCTAACAGCAAGACTTTCTACAAGATTCATCACTTAGATACAGTCCACAACTCTACTCGATAAGTAGGAATGAACCCTTACACAGACTTTATATGCTTGGAGTGCATACTGCGATAATTTAAGAAAAAACTTTGCCGACCTGTGACGCCCCTTACATGCCTCTATCCACTTTTTATGGATGTCCACTTTTTCTCCTCAAAACCCTAACAATGAAAGATCCTTTGCCCATTTCATATATATCATTCTCCAAGTATATCCTTACCAACCCAATCTTAATTTAACTCTATTTGTAAGAATGTAATTGTTTCCAGGCTATTATGCCGTGGTCTTTCTTGGTTATTACTAGCAAACGTTTCAGCTGCAACTGCGGCAGCCTTCAGTGGCGTGGACGAAGTACTCTTCTTGACGTATCAACTAAAACTGAATCCTCCATTTTTTCCGAGTGTGGTAAGAAAAATAGCAAAAGGACATAAAAAATGACTGTATATCCATTTATGACTCAAGAATTTCAAAATTATTATTCAATAACAAGAAACAATGATTTAAAGTAATGTAGCGGTACCTAAATAATTTTTTTTCAACACGAGGTAACAAGAAGACAATTTACTAAAGAATTATCGCTGAACATACATAAAAACGACCCCCTATAGCAACCATACTCAACCTTTTTCTCCTTCGGGCCGCATTCGTGTATGTGCTATGTTACACGGGCCGCCTTATTTTTGGATGATGACCTTTTTAGGCTATCTATCTAAAATTGGTTAGTGGTTGGTTAATAAATAAAACAAAAAACATAAAAATAAATACTCTCTCGATTCATTTCTTATAAAAATATCCCGTTGTGTTACTGCAAAAACAAGATAACTCACATTTTTACAGTTTCGATAAAACACTATTCAAATGTTTAAAACTGAATAAAAATCAGTAAAAGCTTCAAATCGTTTATTAACTTCAATGAAAAAGGTATTGAAAACATTGTCCAAGTATAAACTAATAACCTATCAATAATTGGTAAAAAAGAGGCAAAAACGTCACTTAGGTTATTTTAGCTCTACATACAAATCATAATTCAATGTATGTCACTATCTTCAGTCAAAGTTTTAGTAACATTATTGGATACAGGTAGATTGTGATAATAATGGTGAAATTCATCAGGTGTATCTGATTTTGCAAAATTTTAGTAAATCTTTCTTCTTGCACTTTTTTGTAAGTATTTTCAAAACTTTGTTTCATCCTTTCATGCATACCTCTGAATAAATACTGTGCGAGTTTGGCATATAAAGCCGAATTCCACCCTCGCCCATTGATAAATTAAATCTATTTTTCTGGTGGAATGTATTTAGGATAGCTGAATCTTTCGATACGTTGTCTATTAGAAAATATGGTTAAAATTCAAATTCGCCTGTTACCACTAATACTTTTATTTACGAATTTTCACAAAGATTCGCTCGTTACGGCTTAACGAATCACTCGTTACAGCTTAACCAATCACCCGTTACATCTTGACCAATCACTCATCCATAATGGAGATTCGAACATCATGTGTTATTATCTAGCGGTTGTTTAAGATTAGCTGTATCGTGGAAAGAAAGGGTGACGTAATCTCGTGGATTTCGGAACAATCGAGAAAGGCCAGAGACGGCTCTAGTCATAACAAAATAAATGGCGTGGGCACAATGTTGTAATATTTCAACAAACACATTCAACAAAAATAAAAACCACTCCCGAAATACTGGTACGTTTTCACTCAAAATCACTAAAAATTTTCTCGAAAATTCCAAAATCATCATCTAAAATCATGATCGAAATCAATTCGTCGCTCACAACCGCAAATGACGAGAAAAAAGATCATCGTATAAAATTAAGGTGGATTTTCAGAGAAATCACCTAAATTACATAAAAAATTTTTATGTGATTTCCTAAATACAGGTACGTTTTGACTTTATTGGTTTCCCCTCGGTTCTGGCCTTCATCTTGTTTTGGCAGGAACACTAATAAGAATCGGACTAAATATATTTAGCAGAAATAAGTTATATGCTTATTATCTGGTTTTGGTAGACACAATTAAACGCAATGTTATGATTATGTTTTGGTTGGTATAAATGCCACTTCATCTTGTTTGTCTATATTGTTAATGTATTAACATGGAGTTAGTTTTTATTGGCTATCTGTTTATCATGAATATAGACTTCTTTCACACTTGTAGAAAGTGTATCTACTTAACTCGAAAATGCCAAAAGTTGACCTATCTTGTTTTTGCAGTAACCCTACAAAATTCCAGACGTTTATTTAAAAATTAGCATGCTAATTAGCGCTGCGACCAATAAGTGTTGCGGGCCACAAAAAAAGCTTGGAGGGCCGCATGCGGCCCGCAGGTTGAGTATGGCTGCCCTATAGAGTACCCGGGACTAAACCGAAAATCTAATCAGCTCTTTAGGCTCCCCTGTCAACCCTACGTTCCAAATCCTATCAAAATCGGCCGGATAGTTTAGGCTGTAATCATGCTAACAAAAACGTCACATTTGACATTTTTTTAAGGGCCCTAAAACGTAAAGCCGGCCTTACCCCAACGCAACATGTAACATGCAAGAGTCTTTGGGAAAATCTCCAGTTGCATAAACAAGTCTATTGCGACTATTGTAGCATTGAGGAACCATTTTTATCAACGCAACAAAATGACTACAATATTCAGTAGCCGAAACTTTA